ATCCTGAAATTCAATTGGTTTGCGCCACGATAAAGTCATGTGACCGGAAAATTTTTTGTGGTATAATTACATAGGTTTATCAGTGTACGTACGGTGGTAAAAACGATCCTCGGTCCCGTGATTTCCGAGCAAAATATATCCAATAAAAACTCAGAATATCACACATAAAATTAAGCCATAACTTTAACTGCAAACTCTTCGATATCTCATAATCTACAGAACTCTAAAAATTGCTCGGAAGTCACGGAACCGAGGATCGTTTTTTGCCACCTTACGGCACTGTAACTTGTGAATTAGACGTACATCAGTGCGTAGATGCTTATCCCCTCCCAGTTGCCCAACATCACATAGGGTTGGGTTAACGTTTGATTAATTGCAATGTTTAATTTACCTTCACACGATGCACATGCACAAGTAGTTTTTTATTTATGAAGTGAAGTTCCAAATGTATGTGCACAGGTGTGCAATTAAATTTAAATAAGGAGCTTGCGCAAAAAATAACGTGCAAGAGAAATTATAAAATTTTATTTCACAAAATTTAGAAAATGAGATAGGATAAAGATATTTCGAAAGAAAAATGAATAACCATAAAATACGAGCAAGGTTGAGCTTAAATTTTGAGTAAATATCAAGATATATTTGGTATAGTAATTTTATAGAGTTGGTATCATTTAAAGATAGTAAATATGTGCATATAAAAATAAAATTTAGTAGTTGGTTTGTGCAATCAAAACCTATGACACAGCTGCATTTGTGCATGTAGGTTTCGATTTGAATTTTAAACACGTATATATTACTGTATTAGTAAATTTTCACCTGTGTGGTGTTGGACGCCGATGGTGTAATTGCTATTATCAATGTCGGTCATTTGACTCATATGAACTTAAGCAGATCAAAATTTTATTAAATGAATTCATTGATTAGTATGAACTAAATGCATACAGTAATTAACATATTATAAAGCTAAGAGACAATATATTAAAATAACTTTTTTTTATCTTTTAATTCAGGTGCCTACTTAATACGCTTTTACTTAAGCTATGAATTTTTACTTGTTTATTCTTAGGATGGAATTGCCTGCAATCTATATTTTATTTTTTATTTTTGTGGTATTGTGCTTTATTTACTATATATCTTTCAACAGATTTTGCTTGAATTATTGTGGATATGTCACTTTTAATTTGAGTATTAAATAAAAAGAAATAAAATTGCGTTAGACAAAAGATGTTTTTCCTATGCCTACCTCGACTCATTCTTAACTCTAAAAAGAATAATAGCAATACTTCCTTAACCAACTGCCAAAAGGTTTCACTTTGAAGGCTAACTTTTATTAAATATATATTCAAAATTACTGTAGCAATATAAGACATGCTCCATTTACAGTATATACTAGGTAAATGGAGACCATTTTGAGTTCAAAGAACCAACACAGATCAGTCCGACAACACGGTTATATTGACCAATCAAACTCCGTAATTGCGGACACACGCAGACTGTCACTATGTCTCTACCCATAATAAGTGTTGTGCATTTTCATTGTCCAAATGTTCGAATTAAATGAAATTTTATTATTTTAATTCTACAAATATACGTATATATATAGAATTAAAATAAAAAAATTTCATCAAATTTGATCAGATAGTTATCAAAAAAACTTACTCAAAACTTTTTGGACAATTAAAATGTACAACACTGCCGTAATGTTCTTCGAACATAATATTAAGTAATCTACAATTTACTAATTAAAAGAAAATAGGAGATCTACAAATACAGGACGGTTTGCGAGCAAAGGTGTAAGATTTCAAAAAGGGACGTACAATATGTAAACAGATCTGTTATTAGTTTGAAGAGATACGTTGTGCATTTTTAAGTGCGACATCAAAACACAATTAAACTAACACGTTTAATGGCAATACTAATGTTACACTCGAAATTGACCTCTTGAAACGATTCCGGGAACTATGGTTTAGTCTATCACAGACTAATGAATTAGTGATTTGGCTAGGTGAAAGATGCGTTGTTACAACGACTTAGGCAGAGGTTTATTAGGCTTTATCGAAAGAGGCAACAGCTCAAACGTATATGAAGATACGTAGGGCTGGAATTACTAGAAGAATCACGAATCACACGTGATTGAAATAACAACCGAGAGTCACGAGTCACACGTGAACACGGGCTTATGAATTTAACGTGTATGAAGACACGTACGGGTTTAATAATAATAAGAATATCTGTTCCGATACAAAACAGAAACTGAATATAACAACAAAAGATAACTGTATGGAGACAGTTAAAAGGAATACAGTGGATAATTTGAAACTAGGCTATTAAGGGAATTATATATATGAAGATATATACTTATTAAAGGGATGTCGAAGACTAAAGAAGCTAACTAGGCTAATTCGCGTCCTTTGTATAACAAACGCGGCCATATAATTATTTACAATAGACGACTATAACTCTATTATTATCTATTGATCTATTAATGACTTATCCACCATTCTTATCAACACCAATCCCTTCACTATTACATGCGCACGCTTCGGGTCTTTGTCTTTAATGGGCCTCGCCCCGGGCTTGATCCGTCACGATCTTGATAATAATTTCGTGGAAAGCTCTTAAGCTTGTTCATTTCTTGCCCATCCACATGGATGGCACGAGCGGAATAGAGCTTTTCATCTAAATAATGGCGGCAATGAGGCCAGTTCGGGGTTAGGATCATCGACGTAATAGCGTATAGACCCTTTTAGGGACTACCATTGATGTCGCGGCATGTGTTGTTTCTTATGCTACACATCACCAATATCGGGACCGATATGGTAACTAAAAGCGCTGTATATGGTTTAACAATTTGGGAAAAAGGGTGCTGTGTATAATAGTACGGATACGGGGTCAGTACGAATATTAATAAGTTGATTATCCATCGATCATTAGTGATCAACGGTTTGAGGAGTTCAAGAAGATCATTGCTGTGGCAATTACACGCCATGCCAATCAAGTTCTTCTTTAAGTTGTTGGCACGTGCAGCATTACTGTAGTAATAACAGGGGTAAATTCGCAGTATCCCTGAATATCCCATGGTAACACATACAACGATCTTAGGGATATCAGGAGGCAACTTTCAGGTAACACTAACAATTCAAATTTATGGATTCCAAATATACATCATTAATTATGCGGTACTAGTCAAGAGTGCTACCTGCAATTTGTCACTACGAAAAATTTATTACAGTATTGTCGTATCCTGAGACATTCATACTATATAAAGGTTTATAACACAAGTTAAAATTTTTTAAAAAAATATTGCAATTGTTGAGAAATTAAGTTTTGAAGTTTGTTAAAAATTTTTATGCGCTATATTAAATTTTAGAATCTTTAAATTTTAATTTTCAACAACTATCTTACTAAAGATAATAATTTTAATTTTCAACAACTATCTTACTAAAGATAATAATTTTAGTTAAAATTACAATAGTTTTTAACTTTATCCATTATATAATATAACTTTAGACTATATAACTATTATATGATAAAAATATTTTAATAAAAAAATATAATAAATATATGATAAACACATATTAAAAGTATTATTATAATACCTTAAACCTACTTTTGTAATTCTGTTAAGTTACTATTAACACGATTAATACCATATATTTATAATATAATTATAATATAAGTATAATCTAATATTGTCTTGTAATTATCTAATAGCAATCTAATAGCAATCTAATAATATAATATTTTAATAATATTTTAATAATACAATAGCAATCTGTTTAAAATAATTAAATAATGTTACTAATATCTTAACACTTAACAATATGATAAAAATATTGTTAATGGTAACTTAACAGATTAAAGTTATTTTTATTATACTTTTATTATATAATGGTTATATAACTAATATATGATAATCATAAATGGCAAAAATTCAAGTTTCTGCTAAGTATGTTTATAATTTTGAGCTATATAATTCAATATGAAGTTTTTAAATTATACAACTTAATTTGGGCTTTGTTATACGTTTGATACACCTAACAATCATACGTTCTATTGTCTAAAATATAAAGCTCCAGAGGTTTCAATGATCGAAGAAAGTAATATATACTCATTTGGCTTAATAATATATCATCTCTTCTCACTGTTTATGAAAATTTTCCATATGAATTCAGGCTTAGACTTTACACTTAAGGATGGGTTCGGTTAGGTTATATCTGGCTATCTTAAAAATGTAAGTAGTGCCTGATTTATCCTCGTGACCAAACTAACACTTCCAATTGGTCAAATTTACCAATAAATATTTTAGAAAGAATTAACAACTATTCTATCAATGTGGGGCTAGAAAAAAAAAAATGCTAACATTTAAATCTTTAATATAATTTTGTATTGAACGTATATATTATTTATTATAAATTTTAATTATATTAATTTGCTAAAATGGCTTGCAATGATACAAAAAAAGGGATCACAAGAACCTACAAGCAAATAGGTAAGTACAAATATTGGAAATTTTGTTCAATTTGGTTTTTTCAAAGAGTCAACAGAAACCTACAAATAGTGAAATACACATTAGTTCACTATAAATTTAGTTAAATATTTTCAAAAGAAAACTTACGGTGAAAATGAAATTATTTCCTGTAATTTTATAATGATCTGCATCAATAGCATATTCTTTTCCACTTCTCGAAACATGAACGCTAGCATCATTACCAAAAATAATTTGACGATTAAATTTGAGCGTAAAATTTCCGATTTTCACGTCATCAATATCTTGTACATAAAAAGAGAACTCTCCATTGACGCTAGTGGTACCCTGGATACAGTAAACGTTTGTTTTTCCAGGTAAGACTTCCTTGAGCGTTTCGCCCTTACTACACATTTCACCCGTGGAGAAATTCTTTTCATAGGGAACGAAGTAGAATTTGGAGGCATTAATGATTGTGACAGTTCCAGAAGCAAAAATTCTCTATAATTATTAATGCAAGCTATGTTAATATTGAATTCAATTGTTTAGGGGTTTAACGCTCTAACCTTGTTATATTTGTCTCTTTCAATTGTTGCAGAGTGAACAGTCACAAGAACTAACATCAAGAACAAAAGGTTACAGTTCATTTTCAAACAATTTTTTTTTTTTAATTTGGACCTATTAAAATATTAAATTGGTGATTCCAAAAAGAAAGAAACGTCAATTAAAGAGGCTTTTATAGATAAAACAATGGTTTATTCCGTAGAGGTACGTACGGTTTGTGAAGATTTAATTTTTGACTAATTTGCAAGCAAACAAAAAATATTTAACTAAGCGTCTACTTGGCTGACTGCAAATAAATTGTAAGCCATAATTTTTAATAATTATTAATCATATAGTTGTTAGGTGAAGCCTTTTTTCAAATTGGCAATCCTAAATTCAAAAAAGATAAACGTCGAAACCAAGGCTAAACCTCAAACATGGAGGAACCTTGAAACTTTGGAAAAATGACTAAACTCAAGTAGAACCTAACGAAAGATACATAATGCCGTATGTCAGTTCCGTTATTCAGAACTATAGAACTATACAATAACGATAAACTTTTTTCTTTGAATATGGTATTAATGATAAATTATGGGTTTGGCAATTTTACTTAAAGATCATAAGGCTGATACTTTTCGTGACATAGACTGAAATTTGTGAACGATTGGTAAAAACAACAATAATAAATAAATAAGCCCATGGTCTCCTAAAAACAAGTAATGCTACTGGATTTCTCGTATTTTATTAATAACAACAATTCTAATTAAAATGCTTTTTTTCACAAATAATTAATACGATTATTTTGAAATAAATGATATTTAGATTGGCATAAACTGTTATGGATTACAGTATAAAGCCACAACAGTTTTTATCAGTATGTATTTGTTAGCATACCGTAAAATCCCGAATATAGGCAATCTCCGAAAATAAACAATACAACAATTTTAATATTAAACTAGCGTAGTTCATGTGGGCGGCTTCGTCGTCAGGTATTGGTATTGTGTAAAGCAAAGCTTTTTCGATTTCATTTAAAAGTTTAAGCGGATATTTTTGTGGTTTTTGTTATAGGACGACATTTGTTTATTTGGTTAATTTTTGTAGACTTACCCGTGATTTTCTGTGACAATTAACCAATCACAATACATAATTTTTAGAAGATTTATCTATTAGAAGATGTTAAAAAACGAACATAAAGAAGCTTATAGCTAATGAATATGTGCGAAAAAGAATTTGTCACATAGACACTCGTAAAGTGAAAGTGTAGTGTCAGCGACAAACCCGAGATTCCGTGATGATGCAAGGTACGGGAGCCGCAGGAAAAAAAAGCAATAATAAATAAAAATATTCTTGCCTCTTGACCACAGAATCGCCGAAATCAGATAAGCCCCGGGCAAGGTAAAGCCAAGCCCTTAAGGAGCCCACACTTAATGAAAGATTGGGACGGAATTGTGGAAAATCGCCAAGATATCGTGGTCGTATCACGATGAGAAGGTTATCAAGATGGCCCAAGACCAGTGTTGGAAATCTTATGTTCTCGTGTTCTCATGAGAACATACCTTTAGGTTTGAGAACATTTGATATTGTGTAAATGCTATCTATGAAAAAAATTTGAGAACATTATACTCGAAAAATACAAATGGAAATAATATTAGAAATCGAACGAAGTTCCGAAATCATCCGAAATCATCCGAAAATATGAATTAAAATAAAAGACGAGAAGGGTTGGGACAAAATTTTGAGTAAATGGCCAAATGGCCGATATTTTCCGAAATAAGAAATTTTTAAAAAAGTGATATAAATAAATTTATTTTTTGAGAACATAATTAAAATTTTGAGAACATTAAATTAAATAAATTAGTTCTCATGGGAACATAAATCTCAAAACAGATTTCCAACACTGCCCAAGACTACGGTATAATGGAACCCGGATAGGACGCTCACTAGTTCAAAATATTGACCAAACATCGCTCAAAAAGGATAAATGTGGCGGTGACGTGTAAACAAATATAAATAGCAACAAATAAGGTATATCGTGTGGCCGTGTTAGTCGAATGTTTGCATTCGCGGGGGAAATTGGCAAATGACTGCTATCGCGTTAGGATCAGTGGTGATAACGCGATGAAATAAGGGACGAGACCCTGAATTCTTTTGTTCTTTTTTTTCTTTGATAGATTGTAAATAGAATTGCAATTCGTTTCAGTTGAAGGGCAGAACAGTTCAAGTTTAAATAAAAAAATTTGGAATATTGTTCTAATAATAGTGATAATCGACACTCTCTCTTTGTTCCTAAGTCGTTCGTTTTTACAATCCCATACATGCAACCAACCGATTTAGTCTTATCTTGCCAAATCCTCTTTCACCTCAGCTTATTGGGTTTGTTGCAGGGGTTTGTGTGTTTTTTTTTGTGTGCTGTATTCAAGTGACGACTATCTCGATTTGGTTCCTTTTTCGGATAGGCTCCGAAGGTAGTAAATATATATATATTATTTTTTTTATTATTTAATTTTGGGTTCGTGCGCTTTAACGTTTTTGATTGGTCGTATCTAGAAAACGTGAACTGTGCGTGGGAAAATTTCAGAGTTTGATTGGATTATGGCAATTAATATTTTAACATAATTGGGTCGTATTCGGGAAATGTGAGAAAAAAAACTAAAAATATGTTGATCAGGCTATGATAATGATTGAATTATGTATATGACATTTTAGTATCTGATTATACGTTTTACCATTTTGGGTTATTACAGTAGATGATAATTTTCTTACAAATGTCACGGATTGATTATATAATGAATCTTGCGAAAATTAGATCGACAAACCCTGAATTAACTAGAATTATCCGGTTATGCTTTATAATTTGCGTGGTTATGTATTATCGTTATTATTATCAAGGTTTTAGAACTAAACCTATTGGTAGTACTAAAGCCGAGCCCCAAGAATATTATGAGGCTCCTAGGTGGCGAATGGAGGCTTAATGTTATAGATCAATTCCGGGACTATTGTAATTGTTGGCCCGATTGTTGGCATAAACAATTGTTATCCCAGGCTGTGGGGAATTGTTCGCGGCCCGCGCACAACGCTGTTTCACAATGTTGATAGTACAAAGAGCTTAGAAGATTGAGATTAAAGATAGCGCAGTAGCTCTTAGTAAATTGAAATGTATTTAAGGCCTGAGTTTTCGCCTTAGTAAAGTTTCCTTAGACAATGTGTCTCAGAACCTTCGATGTCTTAGTTATAGAGTTTATAATAAGAATCGGATTTTCACATGTATTGAGTTTATGTATTGTTTTATTAGTTTAGTTATATTCTTTTATTATTGTATTATTCTTTATTATTATTATTCTTACCTTGCACTTCTTATAGTATTGATACATAATAAATTAAAGTTTGATTTGTTAAGTGATAACCCGACTCAGCTTAAGAGTTTTATGACATCTTATCACGTGTACAAGCGTTATAAATCCCGAACTAAGTTAACCACCGGAGATAAATTGTATTAACATCCGCAATTGCTCACCCAACCGATGGTAACAGTATCCGGTTTTAATCGTAATTAGCACTGCATTTCACATTTTCCAAATCTAACGTAATTATTGCATTTTATTATAAATTGTTAAATGAATTTAAGCAACTTGTGATTTAATAAATTTAGCATCATTGTATTTTATGATAATATAAAAATATATTACAAATGTAACTTTATATCATAAATATATGTATACGTAACGCATGCATGATCTATTGAAAAAATTTTTGATACTTCATTGAATGAATGAATCAACGATTAAATATTGCTATATTTGTTTAACATTGATAGCTCTGTCATTACATGCACAATTTTAACTGATTGTAGTCGATTAAACAATATCAGGTATAAATTCGCTGCATTTATATGTAAATAAATACTAGAATAAATTAGAAAACTTTCTGTTATTTTTGCAGTTATGTAATTATTTCGTAATTATTGTATAAGAATGATGAGTAGAGATTTTTATCGAGTTTTAACAGCTGCCCTGCCTCGTGAGGTGCGTCAAGTGTAAACCGGATTTGCATGAGGAGAGCCTCCTCCTGCATCCCGAATACAAAGTAAATTTCCAACTATATTATATAATTGGAAATTTTACTTTGTATTCGCAATGCAGGAAGATGCTCTCCTTATGCAAATCCGGATTACACTTGACGCACCTCATGAAGTAGGGCAGCTTTAAAGATTGATAAAAATCTCTGCTAGAATGATGCAAGTTTATACAATCATGAATTTGATCAAGAATATAAATTCCCACATATTTATATATATATTAATCTATATACTTAATTTGTATAATTTATAACAGCTAAAAAATATTGAGTTGCCAATACTTTCTGAATGAGAATGTTTAGATAAAAACCTTCGACCAAAAGGCAGTAATAATACTATAAAATTGGCCGTAATTTTCAGGAAACAACAGATTTTTCACAAAATTCTACAAATATTCAGATTTGTTTTTATTGTAATTCGAAGCTTTTTTCAGCCAAACAGGAAAAATAAAGTAATTTCTTGATTATTGTTATTAAATAGTCTCTGTGTTATATCATTTGTTGATATTGACTACTGATAGATTACTAGTGTTCTCCAATGAGCCAGCTCAAATTCACAGTCACTATCAGTAACATGTTTACCTATTCATTTACCAAATGAACAAATCATAATATGTGGCAACAATTACAATAATCTATCAATGCTACAATGTTATTTCCTTCGACCTTTAAACCCAAAGTTCAAAAACTTTAAGTACTGTGAATACAATGAACTATATCACTTTAAATATACTGAACAATCATATAATCAAAGTTCATTACCTCTAAATACCTATTTAGAAAAAAATTGAAGGATATCATCAACGTATTGTACAACTATACAAACAAAATTATATACATATAGCATGGATGAACATAATTTGCCCATCAGTGGGTGAAAAATATTATCTATGCATGCTTTTGAATTATCATGCAGTGCAGTATGATCTTTTAAAGATCTATGAATAGTAAATAGAATCTTATATATTATGTTTCAAGATGCTGCACGTGCTTTTGGTTTACTGAAAAGTATAACAGAATATGAACAATGCTTTAATGAAGCTATATTTTATAACTGTACACTAGGTCAACTATGCCTATTATTTTGTTAACTTATTATAGAAGGAATGGCAGCTCAAAAATAATCATGAACTATTATCCACTGATTATATAGCTAAAAAAAAAGATATCCAAGAAGGAGAAAATGAAACTTTAATGTGAATTACTAATTTTTTAGAAGAACATGTCATCAAAATAACACAAACAGGTTTACTACAACTGCCAAATCATTTATCAAAAATAATGCATATTAAAAAACATACAGTAATTATAACAAATTAATTACAAAATGAAAAGAAATAATTTGCAAATTAAATTCAGAACAAAAAATTATATATCACAAAATCATAGATTATATAAATAAAAATATACTCTTAGCACTTTTTATAAATAGTCATGCAGGTCGTAGCAAAATATTTTTTGTATTACAATAAAAAATTTTAAAAAAATGATACTTCCCTGTGCATCAACTAGAATTGCTATACTCAATTATGATAGAGGTTATACAGCATATTTATTATTTAATATTCCAGTAGAATATAGTGAAGAAGGTTATAAATATCAAATTAAATCAAATAATAAATATGCAAAACTGATTCAAGAAGCATCAGTAATAATCTGGAATGAATTATCTATAGCACAAAAAGGTAATATTGAAGCAGTAATATACTTTTCTGCAAACTTTGTAATAATAGTTTACTCTTTGGCAAAAAAGTTTTTATCAGAATTGGAAATTTTCGTCAAGTTGCACCTGTAGTACTCAATGCTAAAAAAACAGCTATGATATTAGAATCAATCAAATCATCAACAATATGAGACTTATTTGAAATTTATAACCTTTAACAACCAATTTGAGATGTAAGTAATCTGGAATACTCTAAGTTTATAGATAATATAGGTGATATATAGATAGTAAAAATATATCTCTACCATTATTAAACAAAATGAATGAATTGGACAAAACTATAGATTTTGTTTTTTTATAAAATATAATAAACAACCTAGTTAAATGTCTACAGTATACTATACTCTCTACATTAAATGTAGAGATAAATTTTATTAATAATACTATTTTTACAATGACTAGATAGCAATATGGATGTTCTATAGAATAGGTAGGCAAACTCCACAAACCCGCAACTCTGCTAAATATCTATTATTATTAATTATTAGCAAAATTTAGTTTTTATATTGCCCATTGTGATAGAGAAGCAGAACACTTGGTACACTTTGTAAAAGGAATAGAGCTAATGTAATTCATAGTTTATTAAGATCGCAAGGTAAAATAGAGAATGCAAAAAAAAAAAAAACTTTCTCTTTTCGAACGCTTAGATTAGATTAGATCGATCAAATTGTCACATGGTCCACGTGACCCACGTGATGTTTAATCAGGAACAGATTGCGGGTATGATTTCAGGAATGATAAATAAATGATACAAATATTAATATTAAAGTCAGTCATAGGATATTAGTAATGTATAAAATATGTTATAATATAATAGAGTTTAATATTGCAAGAACAATGCATAGAATAATAGCAATTAGTAATCGATTAGAAGTTAAAATATGTATGAGCAAAATATGATGTAATTTGTAGTAGTGAAAGAGTATGTATAAAATTGCAAGCAAAATAAAGAATTAATGAGTGCTTTTACGTGAAAATCGTCATCCCAGTAATATAATACAAACCCAATTCGGTGCCCCTAGTATGGCCCGTAAGTTTATTGTAATACTCAGCCTTTTGAGGTAGATTTAGTAGCTTTGGCTATTATTAACCTCCTTGTCAGCAGGACCTGGGCATATTAAAGGTATCTCTCGCAACATAAGAATAAACAAAATATCAAACGCTAATATAAAGAAGTCTCACAAACACGTTATCAGTTGACACTGTATAACATAAGAAACACACACATGAGTGGTACTATTTCAAGACATAAGGAACAAATATGAAGAACCTATTATTAATAAATTACAAGAAGCATTAATAAGTTATTAATATTAAAAAAAAAAGAAACATATCAAAATACATCTTCAATACCATAACCCTTGGAATCATCAACAAACTTGTCAATATTATTGTAAACTTAAGGAACATAAGCGGACACGTTACCATTATTAAAGTTAAGGGCAAACATAAGAATCTCATCATCACTGAAATATAAGGATACACTCAACACAAAACATGTCTACCAAAGATTTGACGAAACTATTTTATTATGGGAATAATAATGATTCCATTGAGAGTTTCATTACCAATTACGAAGGATATGCCGTCATGAAAGATTGGGACGATGCAAAGAAAAGATTGGTGATTGGACTTCACGTTGCGGAACCATTAAGAGACTGGGTCAGAAACATTGTAGAGGCTAAGAATACATGGGCAGGAGTAAAAGCCACCATACTAACCTTGGCAACAGCAAAATACGATACTGAAGAAAAAATCAAATGATTAATGAATCTAAAACAAAACGAGAACAAAAGTGTGATGTCATACACCAACCATTTGAAGCTTGCGCTGATAAAGTAAAGAATGAGATCAGCAACCATGAAAAAAAGCAGTGGTACATGAGAGGTCTCTTGGTGAAATATAAGGATAAAATAAAAGAAAAATATTCCGAGATATATGAAGAAACAAAAGAATGGGCGATAAAAATTGAAAAATTTGAGAAAAATGATGAATTTGATTTGAAGAAGGCATCCATAATTGGAGAAGTGCAAGAGTCATGTACAGATATGGATGTTGAAGGCCTAACGAATGCCTTCTCAGAGTTAAAATTTGTTGGGTTAGTCAAAGTGATCAAGACATGAAAGATGCAAGTAGAATTGACAAGTTGGAATCAAACATAGTTGAACTTACCAAAGCCGTTAAAAATATGACCGATAACAAAGGTCAAAATAATCGAAGTCAACCAACAAGAAGCTCGTTACAAAACAATTGGCACCAAAGACAGAATACCGGTCATGTGTTAACGGGGTCCCGACAGAACCAAGAAGAAACGTGCAAATGTTATAATTGCAATCAGGAGGGTCATATATCTCGGAATTGTCTAATGAAAATTGAACCAAAAAAGGTAGAAAAACATAATAAGAAGGGAAAAGAAGTTGAAAAGGAAAACGTTAATATAAGTGATACTGATATTAGGTACTATAAAGTGCCATATGGTAGATTTCCCTATAAGTTGTACCTGGGGTATTCTGTAGATAAGAATTCTATTTACATCAGGATGCTATTCATATTATATATCAAATAATAGCATCTTTACACTTTGAAGAATATCTAGCTAGTGTAAAACAATGAAGACTAGGAAAGTTGAATGAGAAATATATAGCGGGTACATCTCAAAACATTGTAAATACCCGTATACAATAGTTGGCACTTTACGGTATTTTGAGGCAACTAAAACCTCTCACAACAATAATACGGAATATCTGAAAATCGAGATGGTAAAAGGGGAGACAATTTTCGATATAAGAAATTATAATTTGTGAAAATGTAAAAGCCCCAAAACTGAAAAAGGACATCAGTCACGTGATAAAAGAAGTAGAATTAATGAACATTTAAATAATCAAACGACTCAACCAAAAGAGTCAATAATGTATATATCCATAGCTGAGTTATCACAAGAACTCAACATACTGAAGAAGGTGGCCGAACTTGAAGTTACAGTGACCTTAGGACAACTTTTAAGTGGTTACCAAAAGCATGTGTAGAGGTATTAAAGGCTTTGACTAAGAAAAAAAAAGAGACCGATGTGGTGCTGCTAGATACCAATGTTAGTATAGTAAGGACAGTACAAACTGCTTATAACAAACGAATAGGTGACATGCTAATGGGAGTAGTTAGGGTAAACGAAGAAATTATCGATGTCCCCATCGACCCGGATCTCGCCTGAATCTTATACATATTAATTATGCTACCAGAAGAGGACTTGCTTGGAAACCCACTAAAGAAAAAGGAAGAATGGCAAATGATCGAATTAGCATGTTTGTCAGATATGTAACAAATGTAAAAGTGGACATTGACGGGGTAATGGTAAATCAAAACTTCCATGTGATGGAGACTGCATGCTTTGACGTCCTAATGGGAATGCCCTGGATCGCAGCCGCCAAATGCAACCTAAAATGGAAGGATAACCAATTTTGGTGCTCAGTTGCTTCCGAATTAAAGAAAGTATCTTTCTTAACAACTGTAGTACCTGAAAGTTGGATGACTGATGCCTATGATATGGAGGACTATGATAAAGAGATGGATGATGTAAAAAATAAAGTGATGTTAATAAGAAGAATACAACTAGAAAATGGTAAAGATGTAGAATTGAATAGTCAATGTGCTAAACTGATAAACGGCGCAAAAAAATATAAATTCTATAAAAATTAGTGAAGCCGAACCAATAACTGAAGAAAGTTTATTAGAGGGCTATTGTGGTCAAGTTGTGTATTGGAATAACCCACGCGGCTGTGAAGGCGAAATGGCTGAGGAACAATTGTCTGATATAGTTATGCGATTAACCAAAAAAAGGTTAGATATCTTGGACATAAATAAAGAAATATCAATCCAAGACCAAACATACTTGGAGAATCGTTTATTGAAAAAGTCCCAGAAGTGTTTGCATTTGATCTAACAGAAATGGGAAAAACAAATATGAAATTAGGACAGGAGGAAAAGAAGTTCCAGCCACCAGAATGCAGCCTATCAAAATTAATAACCCTGAAAAAGCTCGATTATTTGAAGATCAATTACGAGAGATGTTGGAAAACGGTTTGCTCAAAAAAGGAATGAGACAATATGCGTATCACTGCTTCCCGGTAAATAAAAAGAAAGGTAAAACTGATCAGTTGCGTGTGGTGGGAGATATGCATCCTTTAAACAAATACATAATAAAGATGAATATCCATTACCTTTGATTTAAGACATCTTGGAAAAAGCTGTGAATTACAACTAGTATTCCTCAGTGGACGCGTATAAGGGATATTGGCAAATTAAAATAAAGGAGAGTGATAGAGATAAGGTAGCAGTATCAACACCTTTAGGTGTGCTACGTTATACAGTTATGTACATGGGCTAAAGAACGCCAGCAAAATGTTTCAATGTTTAATGGATATAATCTTAGATGATGATGAATGGAGGGATATAGCAGCAGCATATCAAGATGATATAGGGCTCTGGACCAATGGAGAATTGAAAAACCACATCGATAAGTTCATAGAATTAGCATTAAAGTTCAAACAGGCAGGTCTTACATTTGCGGAAAGAAATGTCATTTACTATATCATAAATTGAGTATGTATGGATTTGTAGTCAGAAAGAGAGGAATTAAGGTTGATCCAAAGTGTGTTACGCCAATAGAAGAGACCTAAGAATGTGAGAAATGTTAGGTCATTCCTTGGAGTTATGAATTACTATTGGTGTTTCGTGAATAATTTTAGTAGACTGGCCCAACCTCTTGCCGAACTTACAAAAGAAAGTGTGGGTTATCGTTGGACCGATAAAGAGGAAAATTCGTTCAAGATATTAAAAAATTTATTAATGAAAGAGGTAATGTTAAAGGCCCCAAAATGGGATGAAGCAAGAAATGGAAGCAGACCTTTCTAAATATATGTAGATGCATGCAATGTGGCATTAGGAGTAGTTTTGAAACAAGCTGATGACGATGGAAAGCTTCGTTCTATCATGTTCGAATTACAAAAACTAAACACCCACGAAATCAATTATACGGTAACTGAAAAGGAGTGTTTGGGTATAGTTTACGGTTGTAATGTCTGTAAACGTTATATAGGAGGAACAACCTTCAACATCTGGGTTGATCACCAAGCATTGAAATGGCTATTTCATAAAGCCAAGTTGAAGGGACGTTTAATGCAGTGAATAATTGCATTGCAGGCTTATAGTTTTTGAGTGAAATATAAGCCTAGCAATAAACACACGAACGCTGATGAAATGTTAAGATACCCGGACCCTCCTGTACAACAAAAATGGACTGACGAAGAATGCATAGAGCATTTGTTAATAAATGTTGATGTTAAAGATACCAAAAATAAAAAAATATTGTTTAATAGGAGGATATTTGTTTTGTAGGGCAGTTAAGGGTAAACCGCCCAAAAGAGTAATTTTCAATAGATATGACAAAGAATAAATCATAAAGGCAAATCATCAGGGACTAGCCGAAGAAGGCAGACATTGAGAAGTTAATGCTACAGTGTGAAAAATCCTAATGATTTATGAATAGGCGAGTGGGAGTCCATATGTTGATATTAAAAATTATGTCTTGATGTGTGAAATATGCCAATGATGTGAAAGAAAAATTGTAAAGGAACCTATTTTCGTACCCGCTACTAGCTGGATATTTCATAAGTTATTCGTTGATTGTATAGGGCCATTGCCTAGAACAAGTGGTGGACATAAATACATTGTGGTGGCTATCAAAAACTTGACTGGATTCATTGAGGCTTGAACAATAAGAAAGAAAAATGTTAAAACAATAGCGCAATTTCTATAGGAAGAAGTAGTGACATAGTATGGGTGCTTTGCGGAACTTATATCTGACCGCGGTACAGAGTTCAAGAATACTCTCATTGACGAACTTACCACGTGTCTGGGGATTGAGCAATGCTTTAGCCTAGCTATCATCCCGAAGCTAATGGGCAAGTAGAAAGAGCTATACAAAAAATCACCCGTATTCTATAAAAGGTTTATGCTAAAAAGCAAAACCATTGGCATGAGTATGTGTGTGAAGCGGTTTGGGCCTTGAATATTATAGTCAATGATTTGGGATACTCACCCTTCCGTCTGGTTTATGGCAGAGATGCCATTGCTCCAATTGAGTTGATACTCAAAAGTTTTCAAGTTCTTATGACAAGATGAATGGAGCACTGACAAATTAATTGAATTTTAGATGCTACAAATAAAGGATCTGGTGTGTGAATTGCAACAAGTGCATCAGAGTCAAGACGAAATACGAGAAAAATGGAAAGAGTTTCATGACAAACATGCCGCCAACCAACATAAAGAAAAAATTAACGTTGGCGATCTAGTATTGGTATATGATTCGACCTTGGAAACCACTTATTCTAGAAAATTAGATTATTAGTGGATGGGGCTCTATAGAGTAAAATCTATAGGAAGACATAGTCAATATTATTTGAATGAAGATGAAACACAACTTAAAGATCCTCTTACCCAAAATAGAGTCAAACATCTGCGGAAAATAGAACAAAGTGTGAATAAAGATTACGATCTCGAGGACGAAGATCGATGGGGATCTATCTCCTGTGATGGAGAAGCAGAACACTTGGTACACTTTGTAAAAGAAATAGAGCTGATGTAATTCATAGTTTATTAAGATCGCAAGGTAAAATAGAGAATGCAAAAAAAAAAAAAAACTTTCTCTTTTCGAACACTTAGATTAGATTAAATCAATCAAATCATCACGTGGTTTACATGACCCACGTGATGTTTGATCGGGGACAGATCACGAATATGATTTCAGAAATGATAAATGAATGATACAAATATTAATAGTAATATCAGTCATAGGATATTAGTAATGCATGAAATATGTCGTAATATAATAGAGTTTAATATTGCAAGAACAATGCATGGAATAATAGCGATTAGTAATCGATTAGAAGTTAAAATATGTATGAGTGAAATATGATGTAATTTGTAGTAGCGAAAGAGTATGTATAAAATTGCAAGCAAAATAAAGAATTAATGAGTGCTTTTACGTGAAAATTGTCATCCCAAACACAGTAATATAATACAAACCCAATTCGGTACCCCTAGTGTGGCCCGTAAGTTTATCGCGACGCTCTGCCTTTTGAGGTAGATTTAGTAGCTTCGGCTATTATTAACTCCCTTGTCACCATCTATTCTATAGAACATCTGGCAATACTATCAATTTATATAGTACTAACAACTTAGCAGATAATGATACTAATTGCACTATATATGAAAACCAAAATATCAAAAAAAATGGTAAACACTAGATTACTAAATTCACTAAATTTGTCTAGAATATCTACACACTGTCTTATGCTAAACCCCAGTTGTATAGCAACAAT